CCACAGCAGTGATTTCCAGCGTTCTGTCTTCCAGCTTACGTATCCATTTTTCTGCCTCATTTACTCTGCTATTGATTCCATCTTGCGTATTTTTCATTTCAGTTATTGTGTTGTTCATCTCTTTGTTTGTTCTTTAGATCTTCTAGCTCTTTGTTAAACATTTCCTGTATCTTCTCAGTCTGTGCCTCCATTCTTTTTCTGAGATCTTGGATCATCTTTACTATCATTACTCTGAATTCTTTTTCGTGTAGATTGCCTATCTCCATTTCACTTAGTTGTTCTTCTGGGGTTTTATCTTCTTCCTTCATCTGGGACATAGTCATCGGCCATCTCATTTTGTCTACCTTTCTGTGATGATGGTTTCCATTCCACCAGCTGCAAGGCTGTAGTTCTTGTTGCTTCTGGTGTCTGCCCCCTGGTGGATGAGACTGGTCTAAGAGGCTTGTGCAGGCTTCCTGGTGGGGGGAACTGGTTCCTGCCCACTGGTGAGTTGAGCTGGGTATTGTCCCTCAGGTGGGCAGGGCCGTGTCAAGGGGGCTGTTTAGCAGGCAGCTGTGGGCTCAGGAAAACTTTAGGCAGGCTGTCTTCTGATGGGTGGGGCTGTGTTACCGCCCTGTTGGTTGTTTGGCCTGAGGAATCCCACCACTGGAGCCTACAGGCTGTTGGGTGGCGCCAGGTCTTGGTGAAAAAATGGCAGCCTCCAGGAGGACTCATGCCAGTGAGTACTCCCTAGAACTACTGCCGCCAGTGTCTTTGTCCCCACAGTGATTCATAGCCAACCCCTGCCTCCCCAGGAGACTCTCCAAGACCAGCAGGTAGGTCTGGCCCAGGCTCCTATGAGGTCACTGCTTTTTCCCCTTGGCACTGGTGTGCATGAGACCTTGTGTGTGCCCTCCAAGAGTAGAGTTCCTCTTTCCCCCAGTCCTGTGGAATTCCTGCAATCAAACCCCACTGGCCTTCAAAGCCAGATGCTCTGGGGGCTTCTCCTCTCGATGCCAGACCCCCAGGATAGGAAGCCTGAAGTGAGGCTCAGAACTTTCACCCCTGTGGGAGAACATCTGCGATATAATTATTTTCCAGTTTGTGGGTCACCTACCCAGCAGATACGGGATTTGATTTTATTGCGATTGAGCCCCTTCTAATGTCTTCTTGTGGCTTCTCCTTTGTCTTTGGATGTAGGATATCTTTTTTGGTAGGTTGTAGTGTTTTTTTTTCGATGGTTGCTTACCAGTTAGTTGTGATTTTGGTGTTTTCTTGATACAGGGTGAGCTCATGTCCTTCTATCTGCAATCTTGTCTCAGGGTCCTGCTTTATTTCAGAATCATATTCAGTTTCTTCATATTTCATGTCTAATTAGTTTATCTATAATTAATAATTGAATATGGAATTAATATCTTGTGATTGGGAATGACCATAGACTTTGCAGACTGATGCCGGTTTGAAGAATGTTTGTTTTCAGTCTGCAATGAGATGAGAATAGTAAATGAAAGTACATGCTTAAAAACTTTTATAGTAATTTGACATTGTCATGGTATCCAAATGTATGATTTTTGTATTTTTCAGAGATATCACTTTCCACATTAGAAATATATGTATAATTCTTTACCATAGATTTTTCTGAGAAGCGTTGATATAAACCAGTAATATTCAAACATTTTAAAAGATTTAAAGCCATTAAACAGTTGAATCAAACCAAACCTTATGTGGAAGCCCAATCTATAAGATACATGAAAGTAAAGCTCTCTTTAGAACTTGTGTCTAGGTCTGAGAGCCCCCAGACTCACACAATGGCCCCCTCATTGCCACCATGGACCCTCTAGTGCTTGTCAGAGCACAGTTTGAAACCCACTGGTTTATAGAGACCAACACATTTCTTTACTACTAGTAAAATTAGGGCTTAATGTATATCTCATGACAGAAAAATGGTAATTTTTCCTAATGTATAAATATATCATAAAAGAGACTAAAGAGGGCTTCCCTGGTGGCGCAGTGGTTGGGAGTCTGCCTGCTGATGCAGGGGACACGGGTTTGTGCCCTGGTCTAGGAAGATCCCACATGCCATGGAGCGGCTGGGCCCATGAGCCATGGCCGCTGAGCCTGCGTGTCCGGAGCCTGTGTTCTGCAGTGGGAGAGGCCACAACAGTGAGGGGCCGGCGTACTGCAAAAAAAAAAAAAAAAAAAAAAAAAAGGAGAGACTAAAGAAACCTAAAACCTCTAACTAGATTTAAGATCAACAGCTAGAATTTAGAGTATTTGCCTTTGTGACTTTTGTTTCTGATATAAATTTTGTTTATCATCTTTGTGCAGTCTTACGACCTTTGGAATGGCTCGCGCCACTGGCAGCCACGGGCCTCTGCCTCAGTTTCACTTTATTCTGTTGATTTGTTGGATGTGACTTCTAGGGCCTTGAAAAGTGAATTTTGTATTTCTATTTGTATTTTACAGATAGTATTAAAATACTGTCTGTATTTTAAATAAATATATCCCAAATACAGCCTTCAAGTTGGGTAAAAGTTCTCATAAAGTTACTCATGGAAAGGTAATATTTTTACATGGATACCATAGATCTGATTATTTCATTCAGCTGTGTGAAATACTCCAGTGGCTTCAAATTGCTGTTAAGATAAAGACCAATAATTAGAGGAGTGCAAATCAAAATTACAATGAGGTACCACCTCACACTGGTCAGAATGGCCATCATCAAAAGGTCTACAAATAACAAATTCTGGAGAGGCTGTGGAGAAAAGGGAACCCTCTTATACTGTTGGTGGAACTGTAAATTGGTGCAGCCACTGTGGAAAACAGTATGGAGATTCCTCAGAAAACTTAAAATAGAGTTACTATATGATCTAGCAATCCCATTTCTGGGTATATATCCAAACAAAACTACAATTTGAAAAGATACATGCACCCCAGTGTTCATAGCAGCACTACTTACAATAGCCAAGACACAGAAGCAACCTAAATGTCCATCAACAGATGAATGGATAAAGAAGATGTGGTGTATATATATATATATATATATATATACACACACACACACACACACACACACACACACACACAATGGAATACTATTCAGCCATAAAAAGGAATGAAATAATGCCATTTGCAGCAATGTGGATCAACCTAGAGATTATCATTCTAAATGAAGTAAGTCAGAAAGACAAATATCACACAATGTCACTTATATGTGGAATCTAAAATATGACTCAAATGAACTTATTTATGAAACAGACTCACAGACATAGAGAACAGACTTGTGGTTGCCAAGGCAGAGGAGGGATAGGGGAGGGATGGATTGGGGGTCTGGGATTAGCAGATGCAAACTATTATATATAGAATGGATAAACAACAAGGTCCTACTGTATAGCACAGGGGACTATATTCAATATCCTGTAATAAACCATAATGGAAAAGAATATGTATATGTGTGTGTGTATATATATGTATATACATATACATATATATAACTGAGTCACCTTGCTGTGCACCAGAAACCAACATATTGTATATCAACTGCAGTTCAATAATAAAAAAAAAAAGACCAATTACTATTCTTAATCTTATCTCTGCCTCTTAATCTTATCTGGCTACCTCTGTAGCCAGATATCCCACCTATTTCCCCCCCTGCCACCTACTCTTTCCCTGGCTTTTGTTTGTTTCGTTGGTTTTTATTTTTTAAAATACCTAGTTTTTAGGTTGAGAGCTGTTGTTGGGACCAGAGCTCACATCTCCTGGAACGCAGCCCCTGCACTACTTGCCTCCCCGGGTCATGTTCATAGAGCTCCCAAGCCAGGCTGGCCTTACTTCCAAGTGACTGATTAAGAGGAGGCAACCTCTGTCTTCGTTTAGACAACTTCCTGGTTTTCACTTCCTAAGTCATCCTGTTATGTCATGCCTCTGAGCTTCACATTGGTTTTGAGTTTGAAGATTCCCAGTTCACAAACTGTTCTTTTGTGCACAATAAACTCTTACTGAATACTAAAAAAAAATCAAAACCGGGCTTCCCTGGTGGCGCAGTGGTTGAGAGTCCGCCTGCCGATGCAGGGGACACGGGTTCGTGCCCCAGTCCGGGAAGATCCCACATGCCACGGAGCGGCTGGGCCCGTGAGCCACGGCTGCTGAGCTTGTGCGTCCGGAGCCTGTGCTCCACGGCGGGAGAGGCCACAGCAGTGAAGGCCCATGTACCGCAAAACAAAACTAAACAAAACAAAAAAACCTAGTTTTTTTCTCATTTCAGGATTCTTGCACATAGTGTTTTCCTGTTGTTCTAACACAGATTGTCTACCTCCTATTTCTTCAAGTCTTAGCTTAAACATCATCTTGGGGAACTTATCCTGTCCCTGCATTACTAGCTTAAGTCTGTCTATAATGCATTCTTTTTTTTATTCATAAATATTTATTTTTGACTGCATCGGGCCTTCACTGCTGCTCACAGGCTTTCTCTAGTTGCGGCGAGGGGGGGCTACTCTTTGTTGCAGTGCGCGGGCTTCTCATTGCAGTGGCTTCTCGTTGTGGAGCATGAGCTCTAGGTGCTCCAGTAGTTGTGGCACACAGGCTCAGTAGTTGTGGCTCGCGGGCTCTAGAGTGCGGGCTCAGTAGTTGTAGCACACAGGCTTAGTTGCTCTGTGGCATGTGGGATCTTCCTGAACCAGGGCACGAACCAGTGTCCCCTGCATTGGCAGGTGGATTCTTAACCACTTCGCCACCAGGGAAGTCCCTATATTGTATTCTTATACTTTCCTATATTTTTTTTTCTTCATGGCATTATCACAATTGAAATAAAATAAAATAAAATAAAATAATTTGTGTGTGTAATTATTCATTTGTATGTTCTCCCTGTAGATTGTTACCCCCACTAGTGTAGAAACTGTCTACCTCGTTCATCACTGTATCCTCACTCTCTAGCACAGTGTCCAACATGTAGTAGATATTCAATAAATAACTGTGGAAGAATTATGGATATATGTGTAAAGTCTGTATGATTTTTTTTTTAGGTTAAAGAAAGACCTGATGTGGGAGTTTATATCAAGGATTTATCAGCTTATGTGGTAAATAATGCTGATGATATGGATAGAATTATGACACTGGGCCACAAAAATCGTAAGTATAGTGCTTAATTGTGATTAAACATTTATGTGTGGAGTAGGCTCTTTTAGAAGCAAACCTGGTATGGCATTTTGCGCCGTAAAGATTGGATTTTTAGGTTTCTTGAAAACCCTTCCTCTTTGACTATTTACTATGTGGAAAGCATATATGAATGAAAGATATCACAGATTGCTTTCCATGCTGACCAAAATTTTGTTACTTAGCAATAGTGCTATATCTTTGAGACTCATATCGCTGTCTCTTGTTAGTAATAATAATATTGGTAACATTTATTGAGTACTTACTGTGTGGCAAGTGCTTGTTCAAATGCTTTATAAGAATGATCTCTTTTAATCCTCAAAATGGGCTATGAAGGTATTAAATTCCTATGTTATGAATGAGGAAACTGAGACTTAAAGTAAATTGTCCAGGTCATATACTACTTAAGTAGCAGAGTGAGCATTTGAATCTACACCATTAGTCAGCATTAACCAGGCAGTATAATGCCTCCCTTTTGTTGACAAGAAAAGCAAACAAAATTAAATAAAGTGGCATTCTTTTTAGTAATTGTTTCAAGTTTTTTCTAAAGAATAAAAAGTTTCAGCAATATTGCTGATGCCCCAGGCCTAGTACTAATGATGTTACTAACAGCAATTAGAGATTAGAGGTAAAAGAAGAGAACATAGGAAATAACCTTTTTTTGTTTTTTAGATTTTTGTGACTAGACTAAAAATCTAGCAAACTCAAGGAAACAAAGCAAAAATTTTTTAAATTCAATTGTATTCTTATAAACCAAATAATAGAAAAATACCAAAATTTTAACAGGAAAATGAGCAAAAGATGTTTATGACTATGTTATTCATAGAAGAACCATACACAGCAGTAAGTATATGAAAGGATGTTTGACTTCACAAGTAATCAGGAAAATGCATATTCAAACAACAATGGGAGATGTTTTACCCATCAGTTTGGATGAAAGGATATCCAGGTTGGTGAGGCTCTAAGGAAATGGGCAATGGTGATGGGAATATACAGCCTTTTTGAAGGGCAGGATAACTGTATCTGTTGAAATTTTTAAGGATGCATTCCTTTGACCCACTGTTTCTATTTGTAGATATATGTTCTAGAAAAATATTTTTTGGTGTAAACAAAAAAATACCTTATTACAGCATTACTTGTAATAGCAAAAAGTTTGACACAACCTAAATAACTGTCAATAAAAAATTGGTTATATAAATTATGGTGCAAAAATATTATGGACTATAATGGAGCTGTAAAAAAAAAAACAACAAAACAGTGAGTTAAATCTACATGTAGAGACCCAAAAGACTTTCCCGATATATATTAAGGGAAAAAGAAAGCTAACTAGCACAGTATGTAATGCATCATCTCATGTATAAAAAAAGCCAAACTATCAAACTACATATTTGGGTATTTTGTGTGTGTGTTCACATGTATGTATGTGAAATACAAAATGAAAGGACATTTAATAGTGGTTACCTTTAGTGAAGGGGAAATAAGATTGGGGGAAAGGGATATAGGGAGCTTTCACTTTATGTTTTTTGTATGTTTGTATTTTTTTATACCAGGAATATGTTCATGTATTGCTTATTTAACTTAAGAAATTTTTAACATAAGATTCCATTCACAATAGTGACCAAAACCTTCCATTAACTACCTAAGAATTAATTTAACTTAGTATGTGAGATTTGTCTAAGGAAAAATGAAAAAATTCTAATGAGAGAAATAAAATGAAAGGAAGGTAAAGAGATTTGAACACCTAAGATAGCAGAGAGGAAAATAGTCTTCATTAACAAATAGATTGAGTTCAAAAATTAAAGGTTTAGCTGCAGGGGAGGGCCCTCCTGCACTGCTGGTGGGAATGTAAATTGGTGCAGCCGCTATGGAGCACAGTATGGAGGTTCCTCAGAAAACTAAAAATAAGAGTTGCCAGATGATCCAGCAATCCCACTCCTGGACATATATCCAGACAAAACTATAATTTGAAAAGATACATGCACCCCTATGTTCATAGTAGCACTATTCACAATAGCCAAGACATAGAAACAACCTAAATGTCCATCGACAGATGAATGGATAAAGAAGGAATATTACACAATGGAATATTACTCAGACATAAAAAAGAATGAAATAATACCATTTGTGGCAACAAGAATGGACCTAGAGATTATCATATTAAGTCGGAAAGAAAAAGACAAATACCATATAATATCACTTATATGTGGAATCTAAAATACAACACAAATGGACACATTTATGAAATGGAAACAGATTCATAGGTACAGAGAACAGACTTGTGGTTGCCAAGGACGAGGGGGGTGGGGAAGAGAAGGATTGGGATAAGTTTTTCTGTACCTCCCTGAAAAACATAAAAATTTAATTTTTTATTCCAAAATAAATATTTTGACAAAAATTACGGCTATGGAAATGTTTTATTTCCATTATGCAGTGTGTTAGGTTGGATCATTTAGTCTACTTGATTGCTGCAAGCTGTTCTCTCCTAGGGATTGTAAAGTTCAGTGTAGGTCACTTTTGACGTAACATCTGTTGCATTGCTTTGTTTTCATAACCGGAAATATAGAAAAATCACAGTCATAAATAGCATGCTTTACTTATATTGCAAAAACAATGGGTATTAAAATATTTAATATGACTTTTTCAAATTACACTTTCTCTCCCACTCCAAACTGAAAAACACTGCTATAGCTTGTTTTGATAATCACATAGTGATAAAACTATTCCTATCCTTTCATAAGGTAGTTCCAGTTTGGAAAATATTTCCCATGGATATAATTCTAAAGAGAAAGAAAGGTATCTACTCAAAGATGCTCATATTAGTGTCCCTTATGAAGAACTAAAATAGGCAACAACCCCAAATATCTCCCAGTAAGATAATAACTCAATTTTAGTAAAAATTTCAAGTTGGTTTTTACATGGAAATATATGTAGGAGATAATGTTAAGTGGGAAAAAAACAAGGTAAAATAAGACCTACTACTCTGTGGAAATATGTATAGTGTGTTACATCTGATTAGATGATTTGAAGTGGTGTCAGATTTATTAGTTTTTATATTTTTGGAGAAAATTGATTTTAAAAATTCATAACTTGATTTAAAAGAAAACAGAAAAGTATAGTATGGAATCACAGATCCTTGCATTTTCCCTCACTGATTTTCCATTTACCTTCTTTCATTGGGCTTTACTTTTCTTTACCAGTGCAATTTACTTTCTAGTTATCTGACTTATAATATAGCCATTTGCTAATAAAGAGTACCCTTTTAATGTTTAAATTGTAAAATCACAGCTCACATGGAGAAGCTCTACATGAATATAGTAGGAAAATAATTTTGGCATTGGGTGAAATTAACATATTGCTTTTAAAATACTTTGGAATTTAAGAAAAAAACACCCAATACATGCCTATTGTGAAAAACAAAACAGATCTTTTTCTTTGTTTGCACAATATATTCATGTAAAATATTTATACACACTCAAATTCTTAGCATATTTTGAATGGATGCTTTTGTTTTACAGAAATGGGATTATGCTCTATATTCCTTTCTTTTTTTCATATGTTATGGGTATCTTTCCATGTCATTCAGATCTACCTTATTTTTTTTAAAAAAGACTGCTTAGTAATTCATAGTATGACTATTCTATAATTGATTAACCACTGTCATATTGGTTGTTTCTGATCTCTCGCTGTTGTAAACAGTTCTTCCCTGAATATCTTTGTATCATCTAATGTATATATGCAAGTATTCCTGTGGTTGATTCCCAGAACATATCAATAATACTTTTTAGAGACAGCTGAAACAGCAGTTAATTTTTTGAATTATTTAACATGTATTTTTTATGTAAATTAGTTAATTTTTTAAGCCAGCAATACTTGAAATTAAGTATTTTGTTCTCAAATCCCCTCTTTCATGTGAAAAAAATACAGTTTTTTGTTATCAACATAAATTGTCAGAAATTTCTAATAATGGCTAAATATACCTAAGTTTTTATGTTTTAGCCATGCTCTCTGGCTTTTGGCTCTGATGAAATTCAGTATTCTGGATATTTAATTATTTTTAAAGGCATTCCCTGTTGTTATAGTTTTAAATAATTTCCTCCCTTTATTCAAGGTTCTGTTGGTGCAACTAATATGAATGAACATAGTTCCCGTTCCCATGCCATCTTTACAATTACTATAGAATGCAGTGAAAAAGGCGTTGATGGTAACATGCATGTCAGGATGGGGAAGCTCCATCTTGTAGATCTTGCTGTAAGTAACAGGATGCTACTTAAGAATAACTCTTGTGATTTCTTTTTATTTTATAAATAAATAATAATTCAAGTGAAAAGGAGTGATTATATAATTTTTAAGTTTTACCTGTGTATGTGTTTAACTTATTATTTTTTTTTAATATTTATTTATTTATTTGTCTGCGCCGGGTCTTAATTGTGGCACGTGGGATCTTCGATCTTTGTTGTGGCATGCGGGATCTTTAGTTGCGGCACACGAACTCTTAGTTGCGGCATGTGGGATCTAGGTCCCTGACCAGGGATTGAACCCGGGCTCCCTGCATTGGGAGTGTGGAGTCTTAGCCACTGGACCACTAGGGAAGTCCCCTTAACTTACTACTAATTATGGACTATTTCAAACCTATACAACGTAGATAGAATAGTATAATGATTTCTCATGTACCCATCACCCAACTTCAGCAATTATCAGTTCATGGCCAGTCCTATTTCATCTCTACCCTCAGCCACTTCTTCCCTTCCAGTATTATTTTGAAGTGAATTCCAGATATATTAGATCTTTTACCGTTAAAATACTTTTTTTAACTTTGGGAAGAATATTCTGTATTTTTTATTTTAGCTTTACTTCTGTCTCTGTTTATTGTAAGGGTTCAGAAAGACAAGCAAAAACTGGAGCTACTGGGCAGCGCCTGAAAGAAGCTACAAAAATCAATCTTTCACTTTCTACCCTTGGTAATGTTATTTCTGCCTTGGTTGATGGAAAAAGCACTCATGTGCCTTATCGTAACTCTAAATTGACTCGTCTTCTTCAGGATTCCTTAGGAGGAAATTCAAAAACCATGATGGTAAGACTTAATTGGTCGTATAGTTATCATCAGGAAAATTTAAGATTCCTGCTTATGCCAGTAGTTAATATTCATAACATTTAAAAAAACTATTGATTATTTTACTTTTTAAAATTTGGAGTTATTTTTTCTAGTACACCATGTGTGCGAGTCTATAATTGTATTGTTTGGAAGCCTATGTGGTGGTGCCCTCTTTTTCAGGAAGACTGGAATGGAAATATATTCCAGAATTCTTTTTGATATGTTCATAATGGTAGTATTAATTTGTGTCAAGTGTAAAACGTTTTGTATTCCTAATTCAACAGTGTGCAAATATTGGACCAGCAGATTACAATTATGATGAAACCATCAGTACATTGCGGTATGCTAATCGTGCTAAGAATATTAAAAATAAAGCAAGAATTAATGAAGATCCAAAGGATGCTTTGCTTCGTCAGTTTCAGAAAGAAATAGAAGAACTGAAAAAAAAGCTTGAAGAAGGTAACATTTTCTCAAAATATTAATCTTAATGTTGGCTAAAAACGTGTTGTTTAGCCAGTAAGTGTTCTAATAAAAAGCCACCTATTAAAAATTCTCTGAACCTCTAACATTGATATTTAAGGGAATATTTCTGCAAGGTAAATTGATACTTACATACTTTAACATTTCCATATTAAGCTCAAGTAGAATTATATAATATTTGTGTATTGATTTTTTAAAAAAAATTCATTTAATTTAAACCTCCATCTCAGTCCCCATGATCTTTTGTAAAGATTTCATATGTCCACTTATTAAATAATGAATTTTTATTTGTCTCTATATAAGAGCAAGTTCTACCATACATGTATTTAGCGAAAATGACCAGAGTTCTTTGTGATAGGTATCAGTCACTATTATTTGAAGTAAACAAAGCAATCAGAGAGTCATGGGTAAACCTAGTTTACTCTTAAGTAAAAATTCATTGCATGGCCTTGAAAATATGCTTTCGTGTTTAAATTTGAACATGAGATTCTATTTTGGAAATTCTTTTCTAACAAGGTATCATGTCAGAAGGTTAGAAAATTTGAAGACCTTATTCATTAGGGCGAGAAATTTACCAACCATCATTAGGCAGTCAGTGACTTCCTGAATCTTCGTGCTAAGAACTAACTGGCATAGGGCTCCTTTGCATACCAGGTGAATAAAGGGCTTTGAAATTGCCTCTTTTCAGTCTGTGGGGAAACTGGTTAGATCAGATATGAAATCCAGAGATGCCAACATCACAAATATTTGGAGAAGGTGCTGATTCAGTAAATTTGAGTAAGATTATTGAGGAAAAGCAGTAATTGAGCTGCCTCTTAGATAATGGAATTTGGTATTTTAAATGTGACCACTAGGTGGTATTTATAGTCAGTATGTTTTAAAGATGTAAAATTTCTTAGATTTCTTAATATTGAGTTCATATCTTTATTTTGCTGACCCTTTTTTTACATTTTTTTATTGTGGTAAAATATACATAACATAAAAATTACCGTTTTAACTATTTTTGTGTACAGTTCTGTGGCATTAAGTACATTCACATTATTCTGCAACCATCACCACCATCCATCTCCAGGACTTTTTAATCATCCCAAAATGAACCTCTGTACCCATTAAACACTAGCTCCCCATCCCTCTCTCTCCCTCAGTTCCTGGTAACCCACTGTTCTTTCTATTTCTATGAATTTGACTATTCTAGGTACCCCATGTAAGTAGAATCATATAATATGTCTCCTTTTGTGTCTGGCTTATTTTACTTAACATAATGTCCTCAGTGTTCATCCATATTGTTGCATGTGTCAGAATTTCCTTCCTTTTTAAGACTGAATAATATTCCATTGTGTGTATATACCATGTTTTGTTTATACCTTCATCTGTTGATGGACACTTGGGTTGCTTCTATCTTTTGACTATTGTGAATAATGCTACTATGAATGTGGTGTACAAATTCCTGTTTGAGTCCTTGCTTTCAATTCTTTTGTTCTTTTGGGTATATACCCAGAGGTAGAATTGCTGGATAATATGGTAATGCTGACTTTATTTTTAATAAATTTCATTTTATTTATGCTCTTAGGACATATTGTTTTTATAATCCATTTAATAGAGTTAATCAGAAAAACAGTTAAAAAATAGGCAGAAACATTAAAAGCATAATTTTTTAACTTTTTATTTTGAAATAATTTTAGACTTATAGAAAACTCACAATAGCAAGGAGAGTTCTTATATACCTATTAGCCAGCTTCCCCTAATGTTAGCATCTTACATAACCATGGTACAATTATTGACACCAGGAAATTCACAGTGGTACAAACTTATTAACTAATCCACAGACCTTACTAGACTTTTGACAGTTTTCTCTCTAATGCCCTTTTCCTCTAGTCCAAGATCCAGTTGTGGATCACACATTGCATTTAGTTGTCATGTCTGTTTAGTTTCCACCAGTCTCCAATTCCTCAGTCTTTATTTGTTGTACATGATCTTGATGCTTTTGAAGAGTACTGGTCATGTATTTGTAGAATGTTCCTCAATTTGTATTTATTTATAGTTTCTCATAATTATTCTGCAAATTTTCTCCACTATAAATCTACTATTTTATTATTTCCTTTGTAATTAATATGTACCTTGTGGAGAGATATTGGGTTGGCCAAAAAGTGCCTTCGGTTTTTAAGTAAAAATAAAAGACACATTTTTCATCTTCACCAAGAACTTTATTGAACAACATATTCACCCTTTTGTTCCAGTACCTTCTGCCATTGTTCAGGCAACTTCATAATTCCATCTTACCAAAACTTTTTATCTTTTTGAGCAAAGAACTGTTCCAGGTGCCTTTTATAGTCTTCCAGGGAATTGAAATTTCTTCCATTAAGAGAATTTTGTAAAGACCAAAATAAATGGAAATCTGAAGGTGCAATGTCAGGTGAATATGGCAGATGAATCAGAACTTCCCAGACAAGGTGTAACAGTTTTTGCCTGGTCATCAAAGAAACATGCCGTCTTGCGTTATCCTGATGGAAGATTATGCATTTTCTGTTGACTAATTCTGGATGCTTTTCATCGAGTGCTGCTTTCGGTTGGTAACTGGGAGTAGTACATGTTGGAATTAATCGTTTGATTTTCCGGAAGGAGCTCATAATAGAGGACTCCCTTCCAGTCCCACCATATGCACAACATCACCTTCTTTGGATGAAGACCGGCCTTTGGTGTGGTTGGTGGTGGTTCATTTAGCTTGCCCCACGATCTCTTCCATTCCACATTATTGTACAGTATCCGCTTTTCATTGCCCATCACGATTTGTTTTAAAAATGGAATGTTTTCATTACATTTGTGTAGAGAATCGCATTAGGATATACTGTCAAGAAGTTGTGTTTTTTTTTTCTGCTTAACTTATGTGGAACCCAAACATCAAAGCGATTAACATAACCAAGCTGGGGCAAATGATTTTCAACGCTTGATTTGCATGTTTTGAGTATGTCGGCTATCTCCTGCGTGGTATAACGTTGATTGTTCTCAGTTACTGTCTCGATTTGATTGCTGTCAACTTCAACTGGTTTACCAGACTGTGGAGCATCATCCAGTTAGAAATCTCCAGCACGACCCTTCACAAATCACTTTTGACACATTTGATCAGTCACAGCACCTTCTCCATACACTGCACAAATCTTTTTTTGCATTTCGGTTGCGTTTTTACCTTTCTTGAAATGATAAAGCATAATATGCCAAAAATGTTCCTTTTTTTCTTCCATCTTCAATATTAAAATGGGTACACAAAAATTCACCAGCTTTGATAAGTCTTTTTTTTAAATACACGTTGATGTGACAGCTGTCACATACAATCTAACAAAATTGTTTCAAATGAAGTTAAAGACAGCTAAGTGCTACTAGAGCCATCTTATGGAAAAAAACCGAATGAACCTTTTGTTAAATTATGTTTTATATTTTTACTTTTTAAATTTTATTTTTTATACAGCAGTTTCTTATTAGTTATTTTATACATATTAGTGTATATATGTCTATCCCAGTCTCCCAGTTCATCCCACTGCCACCCACCCCCGGCTTGGTGTCCATATGTTTGTTCTCTACATCTGTGTCTCTGTTTCTGCTTTGCAAACCCGCCGAATGAACCTTTTGGCCAACCAAATTCTTTGAGACTATACAAAGGTCCTGTTTTTCATCATACTTTCTTCCACTAATGTTAGCATCCAACAGTAGTTTGTGCATTTGCTCAATGGTGACATTCTCTTCCCATTGTTCCTTCTAATGTTTAGTGTTTGGCGTGTCTGGAATTCTACTGTAAGGAAAAGCAGTCTCTTCTCCCCCACTTGTTTGTTTATTTGAGTATTTTTTATGTCAATATGGACTCATGGATAATTATTTTAGTCTGTGGGTTTATAATACAATAATATTATTTATTTTATTGTTCAGATTGTTCCAGCTTTGGCCATTAGGAGTTCCTTCAGGGTAGTTCATATATCCTGTCAACATGCTCCCATCAGTTTGTTTGTTTACTTGTTTTTTGAGCACTTCCTCACTTTCTGGCACCACAGATGCTTAGAGCTCATTTTTTTATTTTCCCTACCCTGGCCTTAAAATCATTTATTTCTCCCTGGCTCCTTTCATTGGAGAATGGTATTTAGAAACCAAGATTTAGGCATTAGGTGTGCTCATTGCTACCAGGGTGTCATTGTTTCTAGGCCTAAAGAACAAAATATGTTTAATGAATTTCTTCTCCCGAGACTCTGTGATTTCTTTCCATCTTTTATTTGTAGGTTCAAATATTATATTATGATTAGTGTATATTTTACTCCTCCCCCAGTTACTTTTGTTTTCTTAGATATTTCATATATGGACAGTAGTAATTTTAAATAACTACTTTGAAGGTATTATAGCACTGATTTGCATTAATATTAGCTTAATCCCTTTTTTTGATTTTTTTAAGTTAACATATTTGTGTACAAATAAGCTCTTCTTCTTTTGAATTACTTCATGTGATATAGTCCTAAAAGTGGGATCATTGTGTTCGATGACAGTTTTATGGCCCTTAAAAAAATAAACAGGTTGAATGAATTTAAAATCTTAAACAGAAAACTAAGAAAATGCTCCCCAAAAGTGATCATATTTTTTAAAGACTGAAATAATAACTCTAACATGTAACATTTAGAACTGTACTTAAACTAATAATTTGAAATTTTAAATGGATCAGAATCTAACTTCTCTTTAGGAACTTTAAAGATAAAGCCTCTGTGTACATTGTATCTGTTTCTGAGGTTAGCATATCTGATATACTGTCTAGGAATATTAAAATAAGGTTTGTTTAGGGCACAAAAACTTAATGAAGAAAGTTTATATAGGCATTTCCTAAATAGCCAGTGACCTGGCACAGAATAAACATCATTGTATTAAATTTCTATTTAAGGGGAAGAAATATCAGGCTCTGATATCAGTGGGTCAGAGGAGGATGATGATGAAGAGGGTGAGGTTGGAGAAGATGGAGAGAAAAGGAAAAAAAGAAGGGGTAAGTTCATTTTAGTGTTCTGGAAATTAAATGAGATTGCTGCCTAATGATGGTTTAACATTCCTAAGGCTGTCGAGTGCATGACTTTTATTTTGCCATTTTTAATTGTGGTAGCAATTAGAACAGAGGAAGTATGCCATATACCTGGTTAACTTTGCATTATTTTTTCCTCCTATACTGATCTCCTATTTCTAGATGAATCAGCATATAATATGTTCTGGTTTTGTTTTTTTTACAATTTAGAATTATAAAAATCTGTGATAGTGGATATACCATTTTAAAATTTTACATGGGATTTTAATTTAATGTGAGGACTTTTATTTATGTTAGGAATCTAAATTTTTAGGAAATTAGGATAATGTGAAATTTTTTTTTCAAACATGATTACGCTTTAATCATTGAATTTTTAAGTAATAAATTTGTAGAAGGATTGTATTTTTAATAGAATGTAAAATGCATTCTCTTTATAAAATGTACCCTCATTCTCACCTGTTATACTGGGCACTTGTTGCCAAGTACGAATTGAGACTGTGTTCATTGTGATAAAGATATAGATGACATGCAAAAGAGAGAGACATATTATAATGGCCTACATTTCAAATCCTTTAACCCTGAATATTTATTTCAGAACTCTCTTCCATTAATGTGGATCATTGTTTTCAAGCTGGTGCATATTTTGCTTGTCTTATTAAAATGTTCTTGCTGAAAATAAACCCATTGCTGTTTGATCAGGTGTCCCTAATTTAAAAGCCATAAAGAGTCCTTCAAAAGACAGGAAAAATATAATTTAGAGCAAGAGTTGGCAAGTAGTCTGCTGGCCAAATTCAGCCCACCACCTGTTTTTGTAAATAAAAGTTTATGAAACAGCCATGCTCATTTGTTTACATATGGTCTACAGCTGCCTTCACATGCGTCTGTCTGGCCTACAAAGCCTAAAGCACTTATCATCTGTCCCTTTACAGAAAATGTTTGCAGACCCCTGATTTAGAGAAGTGGTTTTGTGTTCACACCTATTTTTTCAGAGTAAAGTATTCAAAGCTAAAGCAGATGATAGATTTGTTAAAAATAAAGTTTTAAATAGAAAAAAATGCCACTGCTTAATATGTTAAAATATTTAATAGTAACATATCTTCCTTCCAGGCTTAGAAATTTTAAAAATTTCAGTAAGCCTTTCAAAGTTTTGCTGTGAAACCTTAAACATATATAATCACATCTGATAGTTTGATGTTTTGGAGGTGAAAGAGTGAAATTGAAGACAAACCAAACTGTCTGTATTAAAGGGTAATTTATCATTCCTGTAATTTTAATTGTTCGTGACTTTAAAATTTAAAACTCAGTTCCTTTAGCTTATCAACCTAAATGGTTTAAATAGACTTAAATGTCACCAAATGATTTGTTTATTTTTATTCTCTTCATTCCAACCCTCTGAATTACTATATTTTAAGTGAATAGTGGGATTTGCCCACAGTGGATACTTAAAGGAATAGAGTTTCTAATTCCCCTGTATGGCTTTGTAATTAGAGAATACTGCATAGAGTACCAAGACTGGTTTTAAGGGAAAGTAGGTTTTGGTTCTTTAATACAAAGCTTGATTGTCCTTTAAAATTCTTTCTTTGGAATTGAATTTTTCTCTGTGAATGTGTTCATTTTCTTGTTTCCTCTTTCTTTGGTTCCCGTTGGGCTCATTTCTTTGTCTTCCAGGCAGTAGCAGCAGCAGTAGTTCAGACTCCACATGTTCTGTCATAGAGAAACCTCTGGATAAGTTCTTGCCTAGTGAGTGGTAGCTCTTAAATTCTCTAACAGAGCTTTGGCTTTTCCATAACCCATGGGCTTCATTTGAGAAATGCTGTACCGCTCCCTGTCATTACTTAAAGAATACATGTTGGACTTCTCAGTAAAACAAAGCATGTGATGACTTTAGCTCCCCTCTTCATTGCTTCCAGTTAACCGTAATTGTTAAAACATATGCTTACGCTTATGTTTGAGACAATGGAAGAGAGATTCATGCTTTTGCAGTTGAGATAATGTAAAGAGAGCTAGTAAGCTGTATAAGAGAATAACTCTTGGTTCCTTTTTATGTTTCATGATACATCCTAGTCAGGTAAGGGACCTGTAATAACAAAATCCTGAATTTCTTAAGGTACACCTTATATTTGGAAGTACACCAGTGCCCTTTATAACACGTCTTATAGTTAAAAAGATTTTACTCCTTGGTGTCCTGTTCTTAGGGGTAGCTTAAGATTGAAAACTCCCTAATAAAGAAAAATGTAAAGTTTGAAGCAAGTAAAGATAAATTGAATGGTATTTTATTTCAAATGGCCATTTATCCTTATTTCTGAATTGCCTGATTGATTTTAAGAAACTTTCTAAGGTATGATTAGAGAATTCAGATCCACACGAAAGTGTTATGCAGGATCTATCTATCTAGACTTATTTCAAACCTAAAGGCCTTTTCTTACACTGTAATTTAATAAATTAAGTTGAAAAGTATTATTAATTTTATGTATAATTTAGTTTTCAGAAGGAAAGAGAGTTGATGCTTCCTTGTACTAGTTTGCAGCTTACTGCTTTTTAAAGCATTATCTGTATACCTACCTTTCCCAAACTAATAAGAGAAACATTTGGTTATTGTTCTTATGCTTTTAGCTTGCTAGAGGAAGACTTCCAAGAATATTAGGAATTATTTTCTCTATTGCAATTCTTACATTTTACCAAGACAATTAATTTCATAGGCTAACCTATAAAATACATGAAATTGCTTTAGAAACCATGTGGAAGTCTCATTTTGTATTACAAACTGCAAAATATAGAAAATATCTGAGTGGGAGGCATTACAATTTAATTTTCTGTTTTAAAATTTTACTTTAATCCTTAGAAAGTAGTTACATCAAAGTATATTATGAAATGAGTTGTACCTTGTTCATTTCAAGCAGTTTTAGTTACTCTTTATATACCTGGCATATAACATTGAATTCTTTTGTTGCACTGTGGGTGTGTTGGTGAAGTGGAGAGATGGTTGTCCCAGCATGTGGTTGCTGTGCGTACCTTCCCTTTTAAAAATATGAATGGCCTTTTTTTTTTTAAGGTGTTCTTTGTTTGAACTATCAGTTGATCATTTATTTCTATAGAATCATTATTATAATTACCCTTAACAGTCTACTGATAGGTTGAATGCAAGTTTGTTATTATACAGGTGTACTTCACTTTATGCAATAAATGTTTTTTTCTGAAAAAATTGCTTATAAATCAAGTTGGGAAATCAATTGTATTGGGAGAACTTGCTGTCTTTAAAAATTCTTTATTAAATGCTTTTGTTTATCACATAATCACTACAGTTTACTCTAAACTCTAGTTGGTTGAAGTTTTTGTGTTGGATTTTCTTAAAGGGGGGCACACCTGTAATGTATCCTTCTATTAGAAGGTCATTGAATTGGGAAATTTCGAAAATGAACAATGTGACTTTTGCTACTTTTAACTTATTAATATTTAAAATTGGCTTAATTTTCTGTTTGCCCTTTTAGATTACTTCCCAGGTCTTAGCAGGTTCCCAATTCCATGTCCACCATTTGTTGCTGAACTGTTATGTTTGCAGGAGTTTGGGAGTCAGTGTGAGCTCTTAAGATTGATTTGAATTGTAATCTTACACTAAATCTTATTATCTTGCTTAAATTATTATCTCTGATTATGTTGAATATACTTTTCTTTTTGCATACAACTGCTCTATTTCAGTTTTTATAATGATTTATTCCTATACTTATAAATAAATGCTGTTATACATTTTTCTTTGTTCTACAAAAGAAATAATGTTTTTTCTTTTTTTCCTCCTCATCTCTGTGCATATGCTTCCTGTCTACGGTTTGCTTACTACTTCTTATTGAAAGATCAAGCAGGTTGGTGTGATTGATTTGCACTCCATGTGGTACAATTATTTAAACTATAAAGAACTTTGTTGTTTAACCACATTACATTTTTTTTATTTAATGATTTTTTTTAACAAGGTAAGTATCTGTCTTTGTATTTTAAAATATATTTCAACTTTAGCATTTTTTAAAAAAAAACTTCCTTTTTTTACTAAATTCTTTTTTTTTAAATTTATTTCAGTTTTTATTGAGGAAGGTATTAGGAACTTTTTTTTTCAATTTTATTTTTATTTTTTATACAGCAGGTTCTTATTAGCTATCCATTTTATACATATTAGTGTGTACATGTCAATCCCAATCTCCCAATTCATCCCATCCCCTACCCCCACCCCCCCACCCCCTGCCACTTTCCCCGCTTGGTGTCCATATGTTTGTTCTTTACATCTGTGTCTCAATTTCTGCCCTACAAACCAGTTCATCTATACCATTTTTCTAGGTTCCACATATATGCGTTAATATACAATATTTGTTTTTCTCTTTATGACTTACTTCACTCTGTATGACAGTCTCTAGATTCATCCACATCTCAATAAATGACCCAATTTCGTTCCTTTTTATGGCTGAGTAATATTCCATTGTATATATGTACCACAACTTCTTTATCCATTCTTCAGTCAATGGGCATTTAGGTTGCTTCCATGACCTGGGTATTGTAAACAGTGCTGCAGTGAACATTGGGGTGCATGTGTCTCTTATGAATTATGGTTTTCTCTGGGTATATGCCCAGTAATGGGATTGCTGCATCATATGGTAATTCTATTTTTAGTTTTTTAATAAACCTCCATATTGTTCTCCATAGTGGCTGTATCAATTTACATTCCCACCAACAGTGCAAGAGGGCTCCCTTTTCTCCATACCCTCTCCAGCATTTGTTGTTTGTAGATTTTCTGATGATGCCCATTCTAACTGGTGTGAGGTGATACCTCATTGTAGCTTTAACTTGCATTTTTCTAATAATTAGTGATGTTGAGCAGCTTTTCATGTGCTTCTTGGCCATCTGTATGTCTTCTTTGGAGAAATGTCTATTTAGGTCTTCTGCCCATTTTTGGATTGGGTTGTTTGTTTTTTTAATATGGAACTGCATGAGCTGTTTATATATTTTGGAGATTAATCCTTTGTCCGTTGATTCATTTGCAAATATTTTCTCCCATTCTGAGGGTTGTCTTTTAGTCTTGTTTGTAGTTTCCTTTGCTGTGCAAAAAGCTTTTAAGTTTCAGTAGGTCCCATTTGTTTATTTTTGTTTTTATTTCCATTACTCTAGGAGGTGGATCAAAAAAGATATTGCTGTGATTTATGTCAAAGAGTGTTCTAACTATGTTTTCCTCTAAGAGTTTTATAGTGTCTGGTCTTACATTTAGGTTTCTAATCCATTTTGGGTTTATTTTTATGTATGGTGTTAGGGAGTGTTCTAATTTCATTCTTTTACATGTAGCTGTCCAGTTTTCCCAGCACCACTTATTTGAAGAGACTGTCTTTTTTCCATTGTATATCCTTACCTGCTTTGTCATAGATTAGTTGACCATAGGTGTGTGGGTTTATCTCTGGGCTTTATATCCTTTTCCATTGATCTGTATCTCTGTTTTTCTGCCAGTACCATATTGTCTTGATTACTGTAGCTTTGTAGTATAGTTTGAAGTCAGGGAGTATGATTCCTGCAGGTTCATTTTTTTCCCTCAAGACTGCTTTGGCTATTCGGGGTCTTTTGTGTCTCTCTACAAATTTTAAGATGTTTTGTTCTAGTTCAGTAAAAAATGCCATTGGTAATTTGATAGGGATTGCATTGAATCTGTAGATTGCTTTGGGTAGTATAGTCATTTTCACAATATTGATTCTTCCAATCCAAGAACATGGTATATCTCTCCATCTGTTGGTATCATCTTTAATTTCTTTCATCAGTGTCTTACAGTTTTCTGCATACAGGTCTTTTGTCTCCCTAGGTAGGTTTATTCCTAGGTATTTTATTCTTTTTGTTGCAATGGTGAATGGGAGTGTTTCCTTAATTTCTCTTTCAGATTTTTCATCATTAGTATATAGGAATGCAAGAGATCTCTGTGCATTAATTTTGTATCCTGCAAGTTTACCAAATTCATTGATTAGCTCTAGTAGTTTTCTGGTGGCATCTTTAGGATTCTCTATGTATAGTATCATATCATCTGCAAACAGTGACAGTTTTACTTCTTCTTTTCCAATTTGTATTCCTTTTATTTCTTTTTCTTCTCTGATTGCCGTGACTAGGACTTCCAAAACTATGTTGAATAATAGTGGTGAGAGTGGACATCCTTGTCTTGTTCCTGATGTTAGAGGAAAAGCTTTCAGGTTTTCACCATTGAGAATGATATTTGCTGTGGGTTTGTCGTATATGGCCTTTATTATGTTGAGGTAGGTTCCCTCTATGCCCACTTTCTGGAGAGTTTTTATCATAAATGGGTGTTGAATTTTCTTTTTCTGCATCTATTGAGATGATCATATGGTTTTATTCTTCAGTTTGTTAATATGTTGTATCACATTGATTGATTTGCATATATTGAAGAATCCTTGCATCCCTGGTATAAATCCCACTTGACCATGGTGTATGATCCTTTTAATGTGTTGTTGGATTCTGTTTGCTAGTATTTTGTTGAGGATTTTTGCACCTATATTCAAGAGTGATATTGGTCTGTAACTTTCTTTTTTTGTAGTATCTTTGATTTTGGTATCAGGGTGATGGTGGCCTGATAGAATGCATTTGGGAGTGTTCCTTCCTCTGCAATTGTTTGGAAGAGTTTGAGAAGGATGGGTGTTAGCTGTTCTCTAAATGTTTGATAGAATTCACCTGTGAAGCCATCTGGTCCTGGACTTTTGTTTGTTGGAAGATTTTTAATCACAGTTTCAATTTCATTACTTGTGATTGGTCTGTTCATATTTTCTATTTATTCCTGGTTCAGCCTTGGAAGGTTATACCTTTCTAAGAATTTGTCCGTTTCTTCCAGGTTGTCCATTTTATTGGCATAGAGTTGCTTGTAGTAGTCTCTTAGGATGCTTTGTAATTCTATGGTGTCCATTGTAACTTCTCCTTTTTCATTTCTAATTTTATTGATTTGAATCCTCTCCCTCTTTTTCTTGATGAGTCTGGCTAATGGTTTATCAATTTTGTTTATCTTCTCAAAGAACTAGTTTTTAGTTTTATTGATCTTTATGATTTCTTTCCTTCTACTAACTTTGGGTTTTGTTTGTTCTTCTTTCTCTAGTTCCTTTAGGTGTAAGGTTAGATTGTTTGAGATTTTTCTTGTCTCTTAAGGTAGGCTTGTGTTGCTATAAACTTCCCTCTTAGAACTGCTTTTGCTACATCCCATAGGTTTTGGATCGTTGTGTTTTCGTTGTCATTTGTCTCGGTATTTTTTGATTTCCTCTTTGATTTCTTCGGTGATCTCTTGGTTATATAGTAGCGTATTGTTTTAGCCTCCATGTGTTTGTGCTTTTTACGGTTTTTTCCCTGTAATTGATTTCTAATGTCATAGCGTTGTGGTCTGAAAAGATGCTTGATATGATTTCAATTTTCTTAAATTTACAGAGGCTTGATTTGTGACCCAAGATGTGATCTGTCCTGGAGAATGTTCCATGCGCACTTGAGAAGAAAGTGTAATCTGTTTTTGGATGGAAAGTCCTATATATATCAATTAAATCTATCTGGTCTGTTGTGTCATTTAAACCTTGTGTTGTTTCCTTAGTAATTTTCTGTTTGGCTGATCTGTCCATTGGTGTAAGTGAGGTGCTAAAGTACCCCACTATTATTGTGTTACTGTCGATTTCCTCTTTTATAGCTGTTAGCACTTGCCTAATGTATTGAGGTGCTCCTATGTTGGGAGTATATATGTTTATAATTGTTATATCTTCTTCTTGGATTGATCCCTTGATCACTATGTAGTGTCCTTCCTTGTCTCTTGTAACATTCTTTATTTTAAAGTCTATTTTATCTGATATGAATATTGCTACTCCAGCTTTCTTTTGATTTCCATTTGCATGGAATATCTTTTTCCATCCCCTCACTTTCGGTCTGTATGTGTCCCTAGGTCTGAAGTGGGTCTCTTGTAGACAGCATATATATGGGTCTTGTTTTTGTATCCATTCAGTGAGCCTGTGTCTTTTGGTTGGAGCATTTAATCCATTCACGTTTAAGGTAATTATCGATATGTATGTTCCTATGACCATTTTCTTAATTGTTTTGGGTTTGTTTTTGTAGGTCCTTTTGTTCTGTTGTGTTTCCCACTTAGAGAAGTTCCTTTAGCATTTGTTGTAGAGCTGGTTTGGTAGTGCTGAATTCTCTTAACTTTTGCTTGTCTGTAAAGCTTTTGATTTCTCTGTTGAATCTGAATGAGATTCTTGCTGGGTAGAGTAATCTTGGTTGTAGGTTCTTCCCTTTCATCACTTTAAGTATATCATGCCACTCCCTTCTGGCTTGTAGAGTTTCTGCTGAGAAATCAGCTGTTAATCTTATGGGAGTTCCCTTGTTTGTTATTTGTCGTTTTTCCCTTGCTGCTTTCAATAATTTTTCTTTGTCTTTAATTTTTGTCAATTTGATTGCTATGTGTCTCGGCGTGTTTCTCCTGTATGGGACTCTCTGTGCTTCCAGGACTTGGGTGGCTATTTCCTTTCCCATGTTAGGGAAGTTTTGGACTATAATCTCTTCAAATATTTTCTCTGGTCCTTTCTTTCTCTCTTGTCCTTCTAGGACCCCTATAATGCGAATGTTGCTGTGTTTAATGTAGTCCCAGAAGTCTCTTAGGCTGTCTTCATTTCTTTTCATTCTTTTTTCTTTATTCTGTTCTGCAGCAGTGAATTCCACCATTCTGTCTTCCAGGTCACCTATCCATTCTTCTGCCTCAGTTATTCTGCTATTTATTCCTTCTAGTGTATTTTTCATTTCAGTTATTGTATTGTTCATCTCTGTTTGTTTGTTCTTTAATTCTTCTAGGTCTTTGTTAAACATTTCT